CGGGGAGCATCTCGGGGCGTGGGGCAGTTCTGCTGCGTGTCTGTGTCCGAGCAGGTAACGGGGGGACAAAGCGGCTTCAGTGTAGGTCTGAGGTGCCAGCCCTCGCTAGGTAACAGCTAGCACACTGCCTCTTGCTGTGAAAGACTCTGTGCTCTCAATGCTTGGATGCTACATTTTTGTCCAGTCCTTTTCCAAAAGGAGGATATTTCAGCACCTGCAGGGTAAAAAGAATGTTTTCTGTGAGCTGCTATGCTCCTGAGTAGTTAATAAATCAACGTATAAATGAAAGGCATTACATGCATCGTACAGTTGGAAGCACATATCCAAATTCACAGTTTTTAATGCTATTATGTATGGGGCTGCACTGATCCTTTTTGCAGCTAGTAGCAGTGATGGGTTTTTCAGGAAAAATACACTGTCCGCAACTGCATTGTTGAAGAGAGGATGCTGGAGATAAAAGCACTCCCTTGTTATTTACATACTGGTTTTTTTTGGAAAGATGATTTAGCTTTCTTAGTACTGACCTAAAGAAATCACCCAAGTGACCCGTTTCTAGTTCTAATATATAATGGCAAAGGTAATTAAGTTTCAAGCCTTGTTCTGAGTTTCTCCGACCTGATTTTAAGTACCGCACGAGAATTTAACACTGAATGCTCAAAGCAGAGTGACTTGTTAGCCAGTTTCTAAGTCCAGCTGCTTGGGGCTGGGTGAGGAACAGGGTCGAAACAGGCTTGCGTGGTGAGGTTGCAACAGGACTGACAAGGCAGCCCACTGACAGGGGAAAACTGGTTATGGCAACAGATAAACCAGCTGCTAACAAAAGGTCAGTTTTGCAAGGAGAAGAGCTTTCTCAACAACTGCGCTTCCTGGAAAGGCTGCTGCGTTATTTCCCCCAACACGCAGTCCTGCCGTCTTGCACGCTGCGTTAGGAAACCCGCCGGCTGCTGGGACCGGCCTTGCTGGTGGCACCGAGACCTGCGCAGAGCTGGCCAGTTCCATTTCTGCAATTGTAACTCTCCTGCCTGGTATTCGTGAGCCTGCCTGGTGCATAGCTCTTCCCAGGGAAAAACCCCATTAATTGCTCACATTCCTGTGATGAACGCACTGGTTCAAGGAGGGCAGAGGGTGTTCCAGCCAGATTCTTCAGGTGTGGTCTCATGGCTCAAGTACGCTGTTGTCAAGTCCCACAAAAGGCAAGCCAATGTCACACAACGGTTTTGCTTCAAGTTTTGCCTTTAGAGAAGGATTTACTCTGTCTTACAAAGTACTGCACTGGCTCCCGTTCTAGAGTTACGTCTGCCATCTCTTTGGCTGTTCTTTGTCTTAAGCGCTGACCCACTGCCGCTGAATCAGATTTTTCACGTCCAGCATGGTCAATGCTCTGCAATCAGCGTAACAAAAGTCTGACAATTTTCTTACATGAACTGTGCTGCTTACTCCCCTGTGAGCAGCTCTTTCTTCAGCGACCGGGTCACAGTGAGCAGTGGTCAGCCACACTGTGCTGGGAATGCGACGTGATTTTGCACAACTCTGATTCCTGCCGTCACAGCTGCAGACCGGAGCCATGTTTCGTGGAAAAGCTGTGACCTAAAGAAGTTACAACAGCACACACAGTACTGAGTATTTGGAAGTTTGAACAAAGCAGTGTCATAAATGGGTATGCAGATGGATGTTTTCCACAGGAAGCATCAACGTGTGGAAAGCTACAATATTAAAAGGTTGGTAATAATATTGAATACCATTAAACTACTAAAATATGGATCAATGTAAATGTTAAAATTACTTACTTTAGCTTGCTTTTCAGGAGGGTCAGCTATCAGAGTTCTGGCTACAACTCCGCTCTCTGCGATAGCCCCGTGGAACAGACCCTTGGCCAGAGGAGAGATGGCCTGACGAGCAGCAATGGCACGTAACAAGCACGCTTGGTCACAGACTTAGAAAGGCAATTAAGGAAATTATGTATAATTAATACATTTTTTAAAAAGATTAAGTGTTCTATTGACAGAATGTGAAAAACAGAACACCACCAGCAGTTCTTGCTGTATATTATCAACTAAATATGCTGCTGGGCACAGTGCACACCTTTGTGTTTAATGTAGCTGTAGCATTACCTTGAGCCAGACTGGCTATCTATACCAAGTGACCATTAATATTAGAGATATAAAATAAAATGTGGTTTGGAGCATAATGTAGGAATCTGCTACTTGAAAGTAACCTATACGTTGTGGCCCTAGTATTACTCCTTTCTCAGCTGTGTGAAGGCATACCATTCTTTTTATTTGGGGTTTTAAAGTAGCAAATGGACAGAACGCTGCTTCTCACACAGTCAGACACTACTTTGTTGTCATACGTGCCTAGTAAAATCACAGGCCTCACTTTTCCACAGAAGTTCTACCTATGATTTTGCATTCACAAACACGTGGGATTTTTTCTGTCTTGTTTAAGATAGTGATTTTTGTGAACGTGCAAGGACAGAAACACTAATTCAACAAACCAGCTGCTAACAGACTTAAAGGCTACTTCAGATCAAACCAGCCCCAGAGCAAGATGCCATGTGCCCTGTATGCTGCGTTAAGAAATATGGGACAGAACGAGCAGTACGGTTGAACACCGTTGCTGCAATTAGCGGCTGCTTAACGGTGGCATTTTGCAGGTAATGGTACCAGCTAGTGTTTTTTGCAAGTTATGGAAAAAAAATGCAGAAAAGGGGATGGCCAGGCAGAGGCTCCATATGGATCACCCTGCTTGAGGCCCAGGTGAACCCAGCAATGAGGAGGAAGAAGACGACATCTGCAAGAAACCAACACCTGCAGGCAGGAGCTCAGGCAGCCACCCTTGGGAAGAGAACCACAGGCTGTGGGACGATGCTAGAGAGGAGTTGGGGCTCAATGCCAGTTAACAGGGTAGTTAGAGCCAATTCATTGCAGTTTGTTTATTGTCATGAGTAGAGCTCTTACAGATCCTTGGATGCTTACGTTGCGTGTTCCTCCGTGCCTGGCGAGCGTCTCTTGCTTGTCGTGTAACTTTGCAAACTACTTGTGTGCCCTGACGCATTCCAGGCACGCCAAAAACGTGGTCTTAGCTGCTAGTGCCCGTGAAAGGAGGAAGACTGGGGCTGCATGCCTTCCACGTCAGCAGGTCTTCCCTTTGTGGGCCCGCGGACAGGGCTGAGCTAACAACGAGCAGCGAACAGCATCACGCGTTGCTCTCCGCTTTTGTCTCAGCGGGGGTCTGTCCTGCCAGCAGTGCTCCCTCCCTCCAGCGCGTGGACTGTGAATTCCTTGCCAGGAGGGGCTGAAGAACAGATAATAACACCACAGAGCAGTTGTGAAAACCCCAGAGCCTTGAGGCCTGGATCCTGCAAAGAAAGCTGGAAAATTCATATCTGATACCCTTTAGGTTGGAGAAAGAAACTGGGCATGTTTCTGGCTTCTTGGGTGTGATTTAACCTCTTGGAATTAGCCTATATCAGCAAAGTGAAAGAAAAGGAAGTTTCAAGAAATCAAAACCAACATTTATTTAGAACGGTTTACACAACAAGAAAACAAGTAGAGATTTTGTCCTCATCTGTGAGAAGCCAAGCCCATCTCACAGATGTTTTCTGATGGGTGCTCTGCTCACTACAAGCGATGTCCAATTAAAAACAAGGGGAAAGAGGCTTTAAGAATGACAACTGATCATTCTCTTCTGAAAGAAGAGGAGAATAAGCACGTAACATATTCTGACACAATATGTTCTGTGTAGGTATTTCTTACGGATTTCAACGTACTTGCCAATTTCCCCCTCATTGCCCCTTCTCACAGGACCACTACTCGGTTTTGATACCCACTGAATAGACACCATTGTCTGCTTGAGCCTGAAAGATTGTGGGTTTTTTCTTCTTGCTTCACTATATAGAGATTTTTAGTCCCACAAACATTCCAGATTTCCCTTGATTCTCTCCTTTCCCTGTGATCATGACAACAGCTTATGCAACAGTGAGTTAGAAGGTGATTATTAGACTCTGCATCCTGACAAACTAATTTTGTTTGACTTTGGGTTTTAAAAGCAAACTGTACCCTCCACAACTCTACAAATCGGTGTGTTCTCTCCTTTCATCCACCATTTGTTCTGTGAGCTTTGCCCAGAACTCCATTCTGTGTTCTTTCAATCTCTTTGCTGCCTTTTGCACCAGTCCTATTTCCAGGTATGCTTCATCCAGCTCATACTGAGGCCAGTGGACCAAGCCTTCTCCGTTGGGATTGCTGGAAACAATACAATGAGAAGTTAGCTTTCCATGTGCCTGTCACTGGTGCTCTGACTGCTCAGGCTGAGAGCATTTCAGAAAACTAATGCAGGCTCAGATTATGTGATTCTAGTTCCTGAGCAGTTGGATGGTTTTTATCAAAATGCTAATCAGTGGAATAGCAAGCATTTAACAATTGCCATTATTTCTGGATCTAAAACGCCATTGCAGATGGAGTAATAGCTCTTGGATTTTTTTTTTTCTTTTTTTGGTCTGCAGGTTCATTTAAAAGGTTTTCCTTGCAATCATTAAGAATAGAAACAATTTGCTTCAATATTTATCTTAAATTCTGCCAAATTTGTAGGAACCACCATATAAGTATTGCTATTATGTTTCAGGCAGCACGGACAAAATTTGAGCTGTTGTTAGCGTTATGTTTCTCACCCATTTCTAGCAAAGTTAGTCCAGTATCTCATGACAGTTCTGCTAAGTTTTTCTTCTTCTTTTGTAGCATGACCTGCGAAGTGAGAGATGAAATGGCACCATTAAAAACTAAACAATCAAAAAAGTAGCAGCTACATCAATTCCAACAGACTGCAATCGGTTCTACGTGTTCCTCTGAGCTATGGGAGCTTTGCTGGAGCAGAGCTCCAGGGGAGAACTGTGGACGAATGACTTAATGAAAAGTAACTACCACTAAAGACAGAAAATGTTTATGTTGATTCTGATGTTTCTAAGAGAGAAAGCCCTCCAGTAAGCAAAACGAATAACAACCATGTTTTAAAAGGAATGCTTTAGTAAGCGTGGATACATCACCAGCTAAGAATGGTTTCCCAAAGACAAAGGCAATCTCATCTGAATGATCCGCTTTTACAAACTCTGGTACAATACCCGCCGTGGAACTCGGTCGATGCTGAAATTCATAAAAGTAGACTGGGTTGCCAGCATCTAGCAGAAAACGTACAGAAGAGTGTTAGCTGGAGACCTGAAAGTACCTGCTGCCACAGACAATAAACTTTCATCACAACCTAGTTTGGTAAAATGAAAACACTCTCAGTTCTTTGGGTAATGTAGTGTGATGCATACTGTCCACAAACACAAGCCAGGATGGAATTCTATGTTTCTTCTAACAGGAGCCGAATTAGACACTCACCTCGGTGGTATCTGGCCACTTCAATGGCTGAAAAAACAAAGAAAGAGTCTCCTAATGCATCCAGAAGGCCATCTCGCACCTGAGCACGGTTTTCTGCATTCCCTATGTATTCATTGTATACTCGATCAGTAACTTCAGAAGTAATACCCTGAAATGAACAATAAAAATACTTCTTAAAATGATGATGAACATTATAAAGACTAACAGCATGAACTGAGCATGCCATCTGCTTGCCCCTGGCTAAACCCCAAACGTTGCCTCTTCTTTCAGAGAAAATGCTCAGCTTATTATAAAGACTAACAGCACGAACTGAGCGTGCCATCTGCACGTCCCTGGCTAAACCCCAAACGCTCTGCCTCTTCTTTCAGAGAAAATGCTCAGCTGTGTCAGAGAGTGGCTCAGAGCTCACAGCTAGGAGTTAGACAGCTACTGGACATAGATGTTCTGAGGGACAAGAGGTCTGCAAGCTTGAAAGGTCAAACATCTTTAGGTAGACATCAGTCAGTGGTGATGATAAACGGATGTGGCAGTCTGCTCTCCCTTCTGTGGAAATAACCCTCGTGACAAAGAAATCCTGTTGGATTTCATAAAATTCACTTATTGTTGTAGATGGCCATAATTTGCCCCTTTCAGAACAAGCCTGGGCTTTGCCTTTGCAAGTTCACAATGGATGTCTGTGACACCGAATGATCCATCACAAGTACTGGCCATGTTTATGAAGTCCGTAATTCTTACCTTTAATCTGCATTTTTCTATGTTTAGTAGATTCAGGAGAGCACAAAGGAACCAGAAGGGTGAGAGGGTTGTTCACTACCAGGAAGCAACTGAAGACACCTAAACACAGGTCCCTCAGTGCCATTCTAAACATCTCAGGTTGTCCTTTCTCATCTCCAGCTACTCCGTCAGAATGGTGTGTTCTACAGGTCTCATGTCTTACCTGCTGGTACTAGCTGTGTCTCGGACAACCTAGGGTATGTAAAATGTCATAAAAGATTGATGTTTAGGTACCTGAATCACTCCTGGATTTCCACAGCACTCCTTTTAAAAAAGAGGGGCGTTTAGGATAAAAAAGTGACGTGTGTTTTCAGTCGCTAGTGGCAACAGGAATACACCATGTCTGCTGCCCGTTACTGCCCCATGGTAGGACGCTGTTGAACAGAACAAAGTTTGCCTCTAAAATATACCCCTCCGGGAGCATGAATGTGGAACCAGGCCAGTGAAGGAGCAGCACTGGGTTATTCTGAAAATGCTCTCTTACCATAATTGTGAATGCTAAGATGCTGCGTAAAACTTGACGTGCGACATCTTCATCCAGACCATCTGCGTAAGCAGGAAATTTCATTATCTGTGTGATACAGAGAATCGTATTTATTAGAAAATTTTGTGTTAACAAAATGATATATTAATAATGACATTATAAGTTTCTTACCATAGGAATAGTCCATCCAAATTCACAGTTATTTACACCTATTATATATGGGACTGCATTGATCATATTTTCAGATAGTAATTGCCTGAAACTCTTTGGAAGAAATACACCATCTGCATATGCACTGCGGTATGGGGAAGGCTGGAGGGGGAAAAAAAAAGCAAGCTTCACTAATATTTTTCAGCTAGTAATTGCTGGGAACTCTTTGGAAGAAATACACCATCTGCAGATGCACTGAGGTACGGGGAAGGCTGGAGGGGGGGTGGAAGAAATACACCATCTGCATATGCACTGCGGTATGGGGAAGGCTGGAGGGGGAAAAAAAAAGCAAGCTTCACTAATATGCAAATTTTGCATCTAGAGAAAATTTTGAGATTTTTACTGTAGTTCCAAAGCAAAGCAAAAGAAAGTGCCAAGTGAAAATACAAGAAGTAATAGTATTCAAGCCATTTCTAAGTTTTGCCTGACAGATTTTCTGCACTAGGCAGAAGATTCTGTGAAGATTAGCATTACATTTTTAACGCTTCAGAAACATAGGTGATGACGTCCACTTTACATCTATTCTTAGTTAATTCAATCCTATTATGGATGTGTGGAGCCGTGGTGGAAAACCAAACTTCTGTGTTGAAACTGCAAGGAACATGGAAGCCAGCACTGCGCTGGGAAATTTTAAGTAGGATGTAATACATTATATTAATTAATTTTCAGGTTCTCTGGGAGAAACTGTGACATTTCATACATTCTTTTTCTTCCCCTGTCAGAGCATGACAGCAAAACACAAGCAGCTCAAAGGCCGTGTGGAATGAAAGGGGAGTAACCTGTGCACATTTTTCAGGTGAGGTATAACATAGCTGCAGTGTTGTCAAATCCTGAAAGGTCACGAGGGTCAGATGTTACATTCCCTTCAAGTTCTCCTAATATTACAACACAGAAATAGCATAGTCTGTTAGGATAACATTTGGCATGTCATTTAAATGCAAGAAGTATAATTTCACCTACCATTTTTTGTAGTATCTGTACCATCTCTTCTCCTGTTTTTTCTCTTAAGCATTCGACTATTGCAGCCGAACTGGATTTTTCACAGCCAGCGGCAGCAGCAATTCTCTGCAACCAATAAAAACAAACAGGCACTCATGTTTTCCTACCCTGTGGCCACCGAGCCCGAGCCCAGCGGAGGGGGGGTCTGCGCTTCTGCACAAGGATCACTGCAGCCAGACGTGTTCCACCGCAGAGGCAGAGAATGGGAAGCCCTCGTAACCCTTTGCACTGCAACCCGCGCAGAAGGACAAAACCTACGCCTGCCAGGTATTTGGATACAGAAATAGAGCAAGAGAGTCATTCTGGTAAAGAACATGCCGGGCTGGGAAGGCAGGTTGAGGCGAAGGAGTTGGAGTGGTGCACAGTCAGAAGACAGCCACGTAAGCAGCAACGCAGAGCGCGTGACATCTTTCTTGGCAACGTCTCTTTGGGGGAACTAACAGCTGCCATTGGAGAGACAGAGCTCATTATAATCTTGCCTCTTTTATATCCCAGATTGTCAAATCTAGGTGCCTGGAAGTTGTGTCTTGCAGTTGAAAAAAATAAGGGGGGGGGTTGAAGTCATCTCTTCTTTTTAAATATAAACAAATTGAATACAGTCTTGTTTATCTTCACACAACAGGCAACAAACAGGAGGGGAAGAGAAGAGTATTCAGAATCTGGTGCCATTTTCCAGCCAAAAATTATAGCTCAACTTTTCTTGAAGACAGTAGTACATGTTATAGTGTTCCTTTACATTTCACAATTCTTCCCTGCCTTCTCTCTTCGCTTCCTTAGTCTTTTGCTTTCACTCAGAGATACATGGATATTTGGGTGTTTGAAAAGCAAAGCATCACTAAACATGTATTATTTGCACACAGAAATACTGTCTTTGATGGCTGTGGTTGTAGTTTCACAAGGAAAAAAATCTGGTTTTGCATTTTGGAATAAAGAATTTGAGACATGCAAAACTATCTGGAAAAATAAAAATACCACCAGATACCCACTTGTGCTTCCTCCTCAGGCTGGTCAGTGAACAAAATCCTGGATGCAGTACCACTCTCTGAAATGGCCTTATGGAACAAGCCCTTCGCCAGGGGAGATAAGACCTGTAAAAAGACGAGGACAAGAGTTACAAGCACGACAAGCATCGTGTTCTGACCACTGACTTTGAATTTCAATATCAGAAATCACCATTTAAAACATTTTGAAAGCAGACATCACCAGGCTGTTATTCTGCAGCCTCTGATCCCGGTTCAGCTGTGCAGAGGGCTTTGGCAGTGCTGTCAGGGACAGGGAGGAGGAGTTCGTGCCTGCCTTTCCCCTGCTGGAGCACCTGGCTTCCAAGGCTGCATGCAACCACGCTGGAAGCCAGACAGGGACCGCATGCAACCGCGGCCAAGATCGGGCTGTGCTGCAGAAGGGGAGTAAAGAGCTGCTGGCTGGAGGGCAGGAGCTTAGGAAACAGCGATTTTTATCACATGTATTGCTGAACCCTGATTTCATTGCACGATCTGGACCTCTTAGCCAACGTGCTCCGTGTTGATTTAAAGCTTTTACCTCATCACAGGTCACAAAACGCATGTCTGGTTCAGCTATCCTGACTATTCGCCTGGGCCGCTTTGCTCGAGTGGCTGTCGAAGCCAACAGGAGAAGGGCAAGACATCCTCGTAAAGGACTTTTCTCATAAGGGTAAATTTTGGGGGTTTTGGTGCTGCAAAAAAAGCCCCCAGAACTCAGTTCAGTAGATGAGGAATAACATTGGGTCTGAACTACAGGATTTGGGTATGAAAAGAACATATTCATCAATCAGAAGCTGTATTGATATCCCATTGTATTATAGGGCAAGGTGATGTGTCATTTACTATAAACTACCCCTTTTCTCTCACTGACTTCGCATGCAGGTACTGAAAATGAATGTGGGATGGTAGGTTTTTCCCCAAAGTAATTAAAATCGGTATTACTGTGAACTTACAAGAGCAGAAACGCTGATTCCTCCTGCGGATTCTCCAGCGATAGTGACAGATCCTGGATCTCCTCCAAAATGTATGATATTGTCCTGAACCCACTGAAGAGCTGCCACTTGATCCAGATACCCCCAGTTACCTCGGGCATGCTCGTCACCAGTGCTGCAGAGAAAGAATGGATTTGGTTAAATGCTCAATGCAAGAAAAAAGGCAGACAAAAACACAATGTCTAGTATAAGAAACCAGATGCCATTCTCTGCACAGAGCTTCTCAACACAACGGAAAAATAAACGGCTCAGGAAGCGTTAAGATTTGAGCAGCAATCAAACAAGCACAGACTCGGAAACAGACCTGGGGCTCGTAAATTGTTCCCAACTGGTGCATGTGCAATTACAACAGGTATAGTTTCTTTGCATAAGCAAGTATTCTGCCCGTCTCTTCGCAAAGGCTTTGCACACATAATTCTGGGAATGACTTAGCAAAAGCTGAGATAAAATATCTCACCTAAAATATCCAGCAATACCTAGCCGGTACTGAATTGTTACAACCACCACGTTGTCAAAGGCTGCTAACGCTGAACCGTCGTACGATGATCCTGCTCCAAAAACTAACCCACCTCCATGGATCCACACAAAGACCTGGAAAGACAAAACCAGAAACAGTCCAGCACGCATAAGAGCTCCCAGTGATAAAAACTAAGTGTAAACCAAAATCTAATATTTTGTGCTGTTTCATTCCTGACTCTTTCAGATTACGTTTCACGAATGGTAGAAGCCTTGCGAATACGAGGCCTGCAGTCTTACCACACGGCATTGATGTGATGCACTACTTACATTACACCAGTGCCCCGTGACTTTTCACAGATTGCATAGAGGAAATCAAACATTACCTAGCTAAAATGTCAATAACATTTTATTTGTAGAATAAGATTTTGTGTCTCTTTCAAACCTCAGCAAATATTTACTGGGGCAAAGCGTGTAACGATCATCGTTACAAAACGGCACCCGTGAGTCTGCATACAGTGCAGGGTGCAGGTTTGCTGCAAACCAATTTTGCTAGAGGTGTTATAACGGTTTTGCTTACAGGCAGCTTCTCCTGTTTTTCTGTAGAACTGGGTGTGTACACGTTTAGGTATAAGCAATCTTCAGACATTTCGAGAAGAACTTTTTCTTTTCTATTAGTAATAGCGTCTGAAAAACCCTGTCCTTGTGCTTTATCCTGTAGACACCTGAACAAAAGAAAAAATGACAAGCAACAGAAATAACTAAAACCGCAAAGCTATCAAATGTACCTTTTTTTATACTTCCACGGTAAAGTGCAAACCAGAACCAATCTCTAGTACTTTTCCAGATTGCTGGCAACAGAAAACAGAAAACAATTTCTTTCTCTTTTAATATATTTTCTCCCTTTGACCTGACATTGAGGAGATCCGTAAACAGGAGCCACGCATAACACGCGTAACAACATAATTTTGCATGTTTCAAAATGTATAACGTATACAGAAATGTACCTGCAAATATATATGGCTATGAATGACTCCAATGAAAATACAAATGAATTGTTTTACATCTTCAATAGCTTTCTGTATTGTAAAATATATTGTATGTATTTATATTGTATTCACTAAACAAGGGCAGTAGTGCACATGGAGTAAGTCATTTACAACACAGGCCAGAATTAGTCTGCGTTTCTTATGTGTCCTACTCAGCATGTGGCTCACTCAGCGTTTTTGCCTTCTAGTACTTTATTCCAGCATTTCCTCAGCTTCTTTCTGTTCCTGCTCCAAAGCTACACAGTTTATAAACATTGCTAAGTAATGGCCAAATGCTCCCGAAACAGAACATTACTGGCAAAGTGCTGGTCCGTATTAGTTCATCACCGACCCCCATTAGACAGCAGCTTTTAATAAAAAGCGCACCTTTAAAGGTGTCTTTAGAAACGCATTCATTGCAACAGTTGCAGGCGGTAACGAGATGGCACCGAGGGATTTACCATTGTGGCTTTTGGTTGCTCTGTACATCACTATCCTGGAATTGCATATAGTATAAAATTATTAAAAAGCTGGGTGGTTTTGTCGCTGTCTTACATTGGTGGGTAGGAAGTGGCATCTCTGACACCGTCCCACGGCTCGGGTGGCTGGGGTTCGGAAAACCTCAGCGGTCCAACCGGAGGCTTCGCGAACGGGAGTCCCAAAAAGACATTTACACTCCTCTCAGCTGCGTCCACTCGGAATTGGTACCCTCGGACTCTCCCGTACTTGGTCCCCACTTCTGGTTGCTCTGCTTGTTGTCCTGGGGGATGGGAGCACAAAATTACACAACTGGTCTATCTGTAAGGAGTTGCCAGGATTCTAAGAGCTTTAGCTATTTAAATATACACCTTTTGTTCGCTTTAACAATTCATTTTCATAAGTAAGGCCTCAACAAACTCTTCTCAGTACAGCTGGCATTATTTCAGCCTTCGTTCTGATTGGTTTGTGCGTGCGGTCTCCCCAAGGTGTATCATACGTATTGTCTTCCTTTCCACACACATTAGTAACAGCGTATAGATCTTAATCCTTTTCGACCCAAGCTGTTAGTTCAAAGTCCAACAGATTGCTCTCATTCAGAAAAGTCATTTCCTTTTCACGAAAAGGATCTGTGAGCATACAAAATACGTTCCGGATCCTTGATAGTACGTACTATAGTACGAAAAAGCTTCTCACACACCTGAAAACAGCCTGGCGTACACAAAGACTGTCAGCGTTTAGGTAAGATCCATTTTAAGATCGGTGTGAAAGTTCTCAGCACCGAATCACAAATGTGGTGCAGCGGTGTGCTCTGCCCCAGCAGCCCCTAAAATTCTGGGACAGGAATTTGATTTCGTTATTTGGAAGAAAGGCAAGTAAGACAAATGACTGAAAACAGATCGCAAAAAGAAATGAAGAACTAATTGCTCTTCAGAGGTAATTTCTACGCAGCGAGGCTGGGTGCCCAGGGCTGACGGTAAAGATGGGGTTCCCCCGGGTGAGCAAGCTGCACGCGCTCGGTCTCCTTACGGAAAGCAACAGAGAAAAACCCTTCCAACACTTACCAGTAGCGACAAGCTCCGCAGCCCCGACGGTGAGAATCAAAGACAGCAGCCACGTCATTCTGCAGGTCGCCGTTCCGCAGGCGAGTCACAGATTACCCTGCTCGGTGTGCTGCGTTATATAAAGGCTGTTGAGCGCAGCTCTTGCGCAAGGCAGAGCCTGATTGGGGAGAGCGATGCTGCAGCTGGGAGCTAACACTTACCAGTAGCGACAAGCTCCGCAGCCCCGACGGTGAGAATCAAAGACAGCAGCCACGTCATTCTGCAGGTCGCCGTTCCGCAGGCGAGTCACAGATTACCCTGCTCGGTGTGCTGCGTTATATAAAGGCTGTTGAGCGCAGCTCTTGCGCAAGGCAGAGCCTGATTGGGGAGAGCGATGCTGCAGCTGGGAGCTGGCCGAGCGGCCGGCCGCCAGAGCAACG